GCCTGACCCACTTCTCAGGGTTGTTGTGAAGATAAAATGGGAGGACGGGAGACCCATGTTGGCACATTCTCTGTTGTGGGCAGCAGGGCTCTTTTTGTAGAAAAAGCCCAGCAGGAACTCATTAGCATAATAGGCCTTCCCCTGATGTTGCCTCCTTGCTCTGGGATTCAGAGGATTAGTTAGTGCCGCTGAATGTAGGGGTTCATTTTAGGGAGGAAATGTGGTGCTGTTTTGGAGTGCTGGATATCCCTGTACAGAGGGATTCCATAACAAAATTCGTAGGTTGGTAGGATCCTTTTTTCAGCAAGCTAAATGCAGTCGTAGAGACCACAGCCCTTAACCGTTTCTCCAGGTGACTTTGTAAATCATTATTATCCGTGCAGGAAAGCCCTCTGGAATAATTGTGTGTGTTTTGTGCAGAGAATTGTGGCTTTTTAAAAAAGAAAATCACACCCCTCTCATGCCGTTGCCGTTGTACGTTCAAGAAGACCTTCCTTGGTTCTGCCCAGCCGCGGGCCTGAAATGGAAGCCAACGTTCTGATTCCCCCAATGTGGTTTTCTTATCCTTTCCCGGCCTTTTGATTTCATCCCCATTTTAGAGAGCCAGGGTCGGTCCCGGATGCAAAGCGGCAGAGGAGAGGACGCTGAACGCCATCTCCAAATTCAACAACAACGGGAACCGCGACCGCATGAAGCTGTCCGACTTCAACTTCCTGATGGTTCTGGGGAAAGGCAGCTTCGGGAAGGTGTGGAACCTGGGAAAAGGGACGTTGATGTTACTGGCACACAGGGAGGGAGGGGGGCTGATTGTACGGGTCTGGCCGGTTGCTCATAAGAACATAAGAGAAGCCAATGTTGGATCAGGCCAATGGCCCATCCAGTCCAACACTCTGTTGCCCCCCACCCCAAGCACCAAGAATACAGAGCATCCCTTGCCCCATACCGAGATTTCCTATCTATACCTTTTTGCTAACATGGGCCACTGATGGACCTCTGCTCTATATGTTTATCCAATACACAGGGCTCTTTTTGTAGAAAAAGCCCAGCAGGAACTCATTAGCATAATAGGCCACACCCCACAGCAGGAACTCATTAGCATATTGGGCAACACCCCTGACAGCACAGCTCATTAGCACATTAGGCCGCACCCACATGTTACCAGAAGCGTGGTCATCCAGCCACACCCACCTTTTGCTTGTTATTCTGTTTACCTTGTTTGTTGTCCAAACCCAGGGCCTTTTTTTGTAGCAGGAACTCCTTTGCATGTTAGGCCACACACCCCTAATGTAGCCAATCCTAATGAGTTTCTGCTATTGGGTGTGGCCTATTATGCTAATGAGTTCCTGCTGGGCTTGGTCAACTGGGGAGCCAGCCGGAACTCCGTTCCTGTGCGTTCCTGCCCAAAAATAGTCCTGCCAATACATAAGAACATAAGACAAGCCAATGCTGGATCAGGCCAATGGCCCATCCAGTCCAACACTCTGTGTCACACAGTGGCCCATAATACCAGGTGCCATCAGGAGGTCCAGCAGTGGGGCCAGGACACTAGAAGCCCTCCCGCGGTCCCCCCCCCCCAAACACCAAGAACACCAACAATCCCTTGCCCCCCTCTCTATACCTTGTGGCTAACACGGGCCACTGATGGACCTCTGCTCTATATGTTTATCCAATACATAAGAACATAAGAGAAGCCAATATTGGATCAGGCCAGTGGCCCATCCAGTCCAACACTCTGTGTCACACAGTGGCCCAAAATACCAGGTGCCACCAGGAGGTCCATCAGTGGGGCCAGGACACTAGAAGCCCTCCCACTGTTGCCCCCCCCCCAAGCACCAAGAATACAGAGCATCCCTTGCCCCAGACTGAGAGTTCCTGTCTATACCTTGTGGCTAATAGCCATGGATGGACCTCTGCTCCATATGTTTACCCAATTCCCTCTTGAAGCTGTCCATGCTTGTAGCCGCCACCACCTCCTGTGGCAGTGAATCCCATGTGTTCGTCACTCTTTGCAGATTCGGATTTTGAGCAGCAGGTGTGTCTCAGCCAGGAAAAAAGTGTTCTCACCGCCCGTGGCCCTGGGGCCTCCGACTGGAGCAGGCGGGTGTTTGGAGCATTCCGTTCCTCTGCTGCTGTGAAAGCCCCCTAGCCGGGCATGTGCGTGCGCTTTGCGTTGACTCCGAAAGCAAAGCCCTTCACAGTTACAGCCCGGCAGCCGGGAACGACTCAGCCCAAAGCGACTGTCATTCCCTCCAAAGGTCAAATCCTTGCGCTTAATTGCCAAGGCCCGTCCGGCAGAAAGACAGCGCAGCCCAGCCCCCCCCCCCACGGGGTTGTTAAAGTGATCTCGGTGGCAGCTGCAGACGTCTCTGGGTTTCAGTGGAGAGACAGCTTGCCGGGAGGAGGCCGTCCGTCGCTGGGTGGAACATGGTGTGCTGAAAAGGCCAGGGATCTCAGGCGATGGGGGCGGGGGGAGGGAAAGTGGTTGGGTCCTGTGACTTCCTTCAGCCTCTGAGCACGGCGGAGGTTTTGGAGCTACCCCAGTGAGGTTCAGTAGAAGGCTAGCGTACAAGACTGGTACCATGTCCACAGGATTATTGTTAGGAATAACTAGAGGGCGGGAACATCCCCATACATATAGCTGGGCAAGGCAAGTAGCTAAGCAAATGAACTTCGAGCGCGCGGGCGGGAAGACTCCCGGCGGGAGGTTACATAATGAGCGGGAGAGTCGCGGGGTTTCCTGAGAGCAGAAAAATTCACACCAAATATGGACCCCAAGCCCTCCCTACGTACGTCACAAGGCCAGACTGAAAAAGGCGTCTAGTTCCCACGACCTCCCTGGCATGTTTACGGCAAGCTGCCGAGCTGCAAGCAAGCGGGAACAGGGAAGAGGATTAAAAGGGGGGGCGGTGGCACAGGCAGTTAAATGCCTGTAGAAATAGTCATCTCAAACAGCTGTAACAGCGGTTCGAATACCACTGTGGTCGGGGTGAGCTCCCGACCCTTGCCCCAGCTCCTGCCAACCCAGCAGTCCGAAAGCCCCTCGGGGCAATTAGGTAAATGGGTACCTGTCCGTAGGAGGACAGGGGGGTACTCCTCCCTCGAAATTGGGCTCCAGCCGAGCGAGGAATTGAGAAGCGGTGGCGACACGACGGCGGTCAGCATGGAGGCGATGAAGAGAGGCAGCGACATCCCAAAGAGGCGGTTGGCTCGGCAGCTGATGACGTGGCCAGCAGGAGGACGTCCGGAGCCTCAAGGACGTTGTGACGCCCACCGCGGCTGCGCACCAGGGCCCATAACCAACAGCCCCCGAGAGGAGTCGCCAGAGAGCCAAAAGAACAGCGGAGGCCGCGGAAGCCGCACCGGACAGAACCGGAAGAAGTTGCCCACTCGCCGGATAAACGAACGATCGGAG